TTTATTCAATGATCTATTGGTTGTTTAGTGGCATGTTGTTTAGTCTCCACATATTTGTCACTTTCTCAGCTTTTTTCTTTTAGTTGATTTCTAGCTTGATAGCACTATGATAGGAAAAGGTGCTTGATAAGATTTCAATCTTCTTAAATTTATTGAGGCTTGCCTTGTTTCCCAACGTATGGTCTATCCTCAAGAATGTCCCATGTGTACATGAGAAGAATGTATTTTCTGCTGTTTCTGGATGGAGTGTTCTATATATATCTATTAAGTCCATCTGGTCCAGGTTTTCATTTAAATCCACTATTTCCTTGTTGACTTTCTATCTGGATGATCTAGCCATTGATCTAAGTGGGGTGTTAAGGTCCCTTACTATTATTGTGTTGTTGTTAATATCTCCTTTTAGGTTTGTTAACAATTGCTTTATGTACTTTGTGCTCCTGTGTTAGGTGCATATATATTTATAAGTGTTATGTCTTCTTGGTGGAGTGTCCCTTTGATCATTACATACTGCCCCTCTTTGTCTCTCATTGCCTGTTTTGTCTTGAAATCTACTCTGTCTGATATAAGTATGGCAATACCTGCTTTCTTTTGTTTGTCAGTGGCTTGGAGTTTTGTCTTCCATCCCTTCACTCTAAGCCTGCGTTTGTCTTTATAGCTGAGATGTGTTCCTGGAGGCAGCATATTGTTGGGTCTTATTTTTTAATCCATTCCACCACTCTGTGTCTTTTGGTTGGAGAATTCACTCCACTTACATTTAGAGTGATTATTGATAAATGAGGGCTTACTGCTGCCATTTTATTGCTTGTTTTCTGGTTATTCTGCCTTTCCCTTGTTTCTTGTCCTGTGTATTTCAGACTACCACTTCAGTTTGGTAGTTCTCTATGATGGTTTTCTTAGTTTTCTCTTTATTTATCATTTATGTCTCTGTTCTGATTATCTGTTTAGTGGTTACCATAAGGTTTGTATAAAAAATTTCATAGATGTGATAGTCCACTTTCTGATAGCCTCTTATTTCCTTAGACCAAGCCAATTCCACCGCTTTCCACGTTATTATTGTCACAACTTATTCCATCTTGTGTTGTGAGTTTGTGGTTAAAATGATGAGATTATATTTATTTTTGATATTTTCCTTCCCTTTATCTTTAGTGTTATAATTAAGTTTATGCTAATTTGTTCTGACAGAGAGCTGTAGTTTTCTGATTTTGCCTACCTATTTATCTCTTTGCTCAAGACTTTGTAACCTCCCTTTTTTTTCAGGTATGACAGCCTTCTTGAGCATTTCTTTTAGGGAGGGTCTTGTGGAAATGAACTCCCTTAGCTTTTGTTTATCTGGGAAAGTTTTTATTTCTCTATCATATCTGAAGGATATTTTTGCTGGATAGAGTATTCTTTGCTGAAAGATTTGTCTTTCATAATTTTGAATATATCATTCCCCTCTCTCCTAGCCTGTAATGTTTCCACTGAGAAATCTGCTGAAGCCAGATAGGGGTTCCTTTGTAAGTTATTTTCTTCTGCCTTGCTGCTCTCAATGTTTTTTCTTCACCATTAGCTTTTGCCAGCTTTACTACAATGCACCTTGGAGAAGATCTTTTAACATTGATATAGTTAGGAGTTCTTCCATTTGTATTTCCAGTTCTTTCCCCAGGTTTGGGAAGTTCTCAGCTATTATTTCTTTGAACAAACTTTCTGCTCCATTCTCCTTCTCATCTCCCTCTTGAATATCTATAATCCTTATGTTGCATTTCCTAATTAAGTCAGATATTTCTCAGAGAATTTCTTCATTTCTTTTTAATCTTAGTTCTCTCTCCTCCTCCATTTGAAGGATTTCTATATTTTGTGTCCTCCACGATACTAACTCTGTCCTCCATAATATCAGCTCTGTTATTCAGGGATTCCAGATTTTTCTTTATCTCATTCATTGTGTTTTTCATCTCCAACATTTCCTATTGGTTTTTCTTTATCGTTTCAACCTCTTCTGTGAAGAAGTTCCTGATTCCATTGAACTATGTGTATTTCCTTATAACTCACCGAGTTGTTTTATGATACCTATTTTGAATTCTCTGTCATTTAGAGTATAAATTTCTGTGCCTTCAGGATTGATTTCTGGGTGCTTGTCATTTTCCTTCTGGTCTGGAGTATTAATATAGTTTTTCACACTGTTTGATGGCGTGGATTTGTGCCTCCACACAGTGATAGTATTTGGTTGAAGCTTCCACCTCCTGCCGCAGGGTGGGGGTCAGGAACTGTGTATTCTGAGCCTGCCATGATCTGCAGCTTGCTTCCTCACAGCTGCTACTTTTCTATTGTATGCACCAGTGCTCTGGCCGACCAGCTGAGCTGGAGCACTGGGCTGCACGAGGGGTGCTTTCTTTTGCCTGCACAATCCCAGGGGCTTCTGGCTGTGCACTGTCTGCTCTCCTTGGGTGCTGTCTTGATGAAGACAAACTCGCAATAGTTTAGCCACTTCTGATAGGAGATACTGTGCCAGAAGAGGAACCCTTATAGGCCTTGATAAAGAAGACAATGGGGGAAGATGAACAGAACATGTGACATGATGAGATTAGCACCTTCAAAAAGTACTATAGATGCAGTGTGGAGAGGAGACTAGAATAAATGGAGATGACCAGTTTAGAAACCACTGCTGAAGTCCACCTGAAAGATGATGGTAGCCTGAGCTAGGTGGTGGCAGTGGAGGCACAGCAAAGTGGTTGGGTTTGAGAGATTCCTTTAATGTAACATTGATAGGACTTGGTTCATGGATTGAATATGTGAAGGGGGAAGCAAAGTAAAGAGAGTTTTCCTGGATGACTCCCAGACAGCTGGATGGATTGGGTGCCATTTCTGAGAGAGTGAACTCTGGAAAAGATTCACAAATGAAATAGAGAGGGAAATGTGAATCTGGGATATTTCAAAACAAGAAATGGAAATAGAGGGGGGAGAACAACTCAGATGGTGTCAAGCCTCTAGGGTTAAGGATCTAGAAGAATAATGGGCTACTGACAGAAATGAGGTTTAATGCCAAAATGATAGTGAACATATTAATCTTTCTTTAAATATTGAGAAGACATTTTGGAATCTAGCTGTGCCTGGGGGTCATGGCAGTGCCTTGGGGCCATGATTATGATCATTATTTATCATGTTAATTTAGTGTTACAGAAGTGCTGGTCAATAAGGGACTCTGGTTGGGAAAACGCCATTTCTCCGTGTCAGATTTAGTTACACCTTGGCTAAATAATGTCCCTCGCTTAGGTGATGCCTTTTCTCACCATGGAGAGTTTAAATCAGGCAGCATCCAGGTTTCCAAACCAACTTTATCATAAAGGTTTCTTTAATATTGTGCTGTTAGTAATGTAATTATTAAGGTCCAGAGTAATTGGCTATCAAGTGAATCATTCTACGGACTGAGTTCCAAAGATGTAAAACCATAGAAATTTTTATGAGAATTTCAGGAGGGCAATTGTTTCTCCATGACAGGACAGAGGCACCAAGTGAGGTAACTTTAAAAGTCACTTCAATATTCACATGATGTATTCAGTTGCCTTGGCAATAGGCATGATTATTATTATTAGCAACCTCAGTGATTCCTATCTTTGTTTCTCTTCCATGTGGATTAATTTTATATTCATGTTTCTATTATTATGTTATCATAACCAACATCAAATCCTGATAAAAACCGTTAAGACAGAAACCAGACCTATCAACAAACAGACTGGCATCAGATAGCTGACTGGATTTTGCAGGTGGTTAACACACAGAGGACCAGAAACTGTTAATGCTCATTGAGAAGCAGTGTAACCCTCCGAGCTCTACTTTTGTCCTCTGCAAAATAAGAGACCTGGGAGACACAATCTTAAGCTCCTTCCAGCTCTAATATTGTATCCTAACGTCCTTTAAAATGTACATTTGCCAACTCCATTAAGCGCCTGGTTCACTCTAGAAACGAGATTCCTAGTTCTGGCCTACCCATCATCCATCTACCCATCCACAGAATCAAAAGCTTTTTATTTAGTGCTTATTAAGCATGAGAGAACTCGTTTTAGTTTACATGCTAATTGGCCAGGCAGGAAATAAAGAGGTGAACAGATTAATACACAAAATAATTACAGATTGTGCTAAGCGGTCTGAAGGAAGTAGAAAGGGCATTGTGATAAAAGCGATGAATGGGTGCAAATGCCAACAGGTGGTCAGGAAAGACTTCTCTGAGGAAACGGTATTTGCGCTGAGAAGTAAGGCTTGGAAAGGGCCAAGAGCACAAAGGCAAAAAGAAAAGCAGGTGCAAAGGTCCTGAGCAGAGACCACAGAGCGCGACAGGCAGCAGGCTGAACGCGGAAGCAGAGACGAGAAGCGAGTGATCTATTACATCAGGCATTAAAGAGATCTGCAGAAATGTAAACCAATACCACTCTTCTATGTACTTTTTTGTTAACAATATAGCCTTCAATAGAAATCTGTAATGGGTTTATTCTTGTTCTCTTTAACTGAATAAATGTTTAAAAATTTGGTACATAGGGAGAAAAGTAACCCACAGACACAAAAGTTCTCTGGGGTCTTCATTTACATACTGCGGTAGAGGAGTCCTAAGACTAAAACCTTTGAGGAACGTGCGAGGTCTGGGGTGTTCCCTGCGTTGGATGGACTGTCTCAGGCATCACGGTCCCTGGCTGTACAGAGCTCACCACTCTGTAAACATTCTCCCCTTCTCCCTTCTGTCTCCTCGCCATCCCCGCTCCTGGCGTGGCGCGAGCTGGCGCGCCAGACATCGGCTTCCTCACTGGGGTGGGTCACCCCGGATCCTCCCATGTCCCATCCCGCCTCCCCACATCCCTGCCCGCCTCCCAGTTCCCAGACACCCCCGCCATCCAGGCCCCCGCTTCCGGACGCCGGCCCTGCCGCCCCAGCGCTCCCCATCCAGCCTTCCTGCGCCCTACCCCGCGCCCTACCCCGCGCCCTACCCCGCGCCCTACCCCGCGCCCTACCCCGCGCCCTACCCCGCGCCCTACCGGCCAGGCAGGCGGCGGCGTCGATCCAGCGGAGCAGCTGCGCGGCGCCCAGCTCGCCGCGGGCGTTGGCGTGCGCGGGCCCCACGGCCCGGCTCATGCGCACCTCGCCGGGCGCCTGCCGCTCCATGCGCGCCCCGGAGCGAGCCCGGCCGCCCCACGTCCCGCTCCCAAGGGCACCGCGCCCGCAGCCCCTCGGGGTGCCGCCGACTCCGGGCAGCGGGGACTCAGGGGCCGGAAGATCGCCAGGAGGGTGAGAGGGGGCTCTTCCGTCTCAGGAGAAGCAAACCTGGGGCGACCGAGGCAAGCGAAGCTGGGGACAGCCCGGCGTCTCCCCCGCGAAGGGGGACCGCGGTCCTTATCTCGGGGGAGCGTGCAGAGGCTTCGAGGAGATGGAGGACGAGGCTCACAGCGTGTGCCAGCTACGGTGAGACAGGTGTTTGCTGCGTAAATAAATAGTGGGGTTATCAGCCGGCTGAAGAACTGGACGGGCCGTGGGGAGTTAAGAATCGATTAAATGCTGTCCAGAGAATGTAGACGTTTTGCTTTAGAAGTTGATTTCAGTCTTCTTTTGGCTGTTGACTGCCAGGTAGAGTGAGCGCTCACTCCTCGGGCCCCTCGTTCAAAATCCACCTTCTGATTCCTAGGACATAATAATGGCTCCAGAGAACTCTCTGTTAATGATCATTTTGTTACGAAATTACCCTCACTGCCAAACAAACCAGAAAAAAAGAAAAAAGAAAAAGTGCTGATGTTTGCAGACGCATGAGGGTCACCCAACAAGGGAAGGCAACCTTTTGGTTTTAATCTAGAGAATTTAAGGTTAGAAACTGCCACCTCATTATGAATGATCTAGGCAAATCCCAGAGAATCTCTTCTTGATGGCAGACAGAATCTCGAGCATTCAATGAGAGTTTTCATTCTCAGCCTTTAGCGCATGAAAGTTGCTACATTTTTCTAGGTCTGAAATCGGCAACTTTACAAAGCAGTTCTCATTAAGGGAAAGGGGACACCAGAAAACCTCCAGCATCTGATAGATGGAGAGATGTCTTATTTGTAGGGCTGGCTGCACCTGGGGGCGCACTGATGGGTGAAGAAATGGAAGCCCCGAGAGGTGGAGCAGTGTGCCAGGCGTGCAGCTGACGTCACGGGAGCAGCTGAGGTGATAGATCACGAGTTAACTCAGGGTTCCTGACTGTCCGAGACCTGATGGCCTCCAACACATCGGGGTGTCTTCACCCCTCCGCAGGTGGCCCACCAAGCCCCAGCCTGGAGACATCAGAATGGAGACTCGGGCAACTTTGCTTCTCCTTTTAAAGATTTTTTATGAAACAGAGGAACTAAGGAAACATGGACTGGATAAGTTTCAGGATCTTCTGTGGGTAGGTTTCTGTCCCGTGTAAGCATAAATAAGACTTGGATGCATTCAGTTAGCCATTATGATGTTTGACTTTTATAAAAAGCTGAAAATGACTTTTTTTTTTTTTTTTTGAGGAAGATTAGCCCTGAGCTAACATCTGCTGCCAATCCTCCTCTTTTTGCTGAGGAAGACTGACCCTGAGCTAACATCCATGCCCATCTTCCTCTACTTTGTATGTGGCATGCCTGCCACAGCATGGCTTGACAAGCAGTGCCATGTCCACCCCCGGGATCCGAACTGGCCAACCCCTGGCCACTGAAGCAGAACGTGTGAACTTAACTGCTGTGCCACTGGGCTGTCCCCAGAAATGACTTTTTTAAACAAATTAAAACCTTGTGCCTCCAAGCTGGTCCCCTTATGTAGCTATACACTTATTTCAATGACCATGCTATTACTCATATCACTTTTGGCACTCTTCTTTGGAAAATGCCTCGAGTTCTTAATATCATCTTGGCAGATTAGATGATTGTTCAGCAAATACTCACTCCATCTATGATAACTCCCTGGGAGGCACTTATTGATGTTGGACTTGCCATGTGACTTGATTTGGACTGGAATGTGGGGAGGTAACAGTGTACCAGCTCCGAGCCTAGCCCTTCAAGGCACCACGTGTTCCTGTTCCCGGGAACATCTGACCTGTGCCCTGAGAAGCTGTATGCCTGAATAGCTGCCTGTCAGCATCTGGGTGCCAGACGGAGCTCACATGCTGCATAGCCATCCCAGCCAACCTGCAGGCTTGCAGCCTGAAGCTGAGCCCCAGCAGATGTGCAGACGTAGGCGTGAGACATAACTACTTCCTGTTCATGTCACTGTGATTTGGGGATTGTTACACAGCAATAACTAACAGTTACATGCATGAATTTCACTTGTTAATATTGTGGGGACCTGGAATTGGCCACCCCAAGATATGTCTCTTTGGCATCAGGATTATTTGAGGCTGATTGCTTTTGATAAACTGGGACGGGGAAGGAGGCTCTGAGGAATGGAACTCGCCCTTTGTTAGGACACGTTTACATTTGTAAGGTAAATCTCTATCTGTAAAAGGTGCCTCCCTCTCTGTACCAGGAAGAAGAAAGGAGATGACCTTCTCTCTAAAAACTCTTAATCAATACCAAAGGCAAGGACTTAAATCTGCATTTTATTGTGCTAGTCTGGTAACCTCCTGTAGCTGACTTCCCTCCCCCTCCCAACGTTGGCATTTCTTTAAGGATTAAGCATCTTTCCTTAGGGAAGGAACTGATTGCTGCGCTCACCTGTGACCGCCCAGCTCCAGACAATCGACTTGCCTCCTGCTACGCCCACCAAGATAGCAGACCATTACCTGCTGTGTCCATCAAGCACTGTGCCAAACAGGGCAATCTTGTGACTATTGTGGGAGGGACCTTTCAATCACATGTGAAACACCCTGTTTGGAGGTATATAACCACTATGTGCACCCCACTTCTTCGGTGCCCTTTCTTCCTTCGGGAAGAAAGCCCCCGGGCCATGGTTCCTCATAAAGCTTTGTTTAATTTTCTCTTGCTATTCTGTCTCATGTGAATTCAATTCGTTCTCCGGCCAGACGAACCCACCTTTGGGAAGAGGAAATGTCTTCCTCCCCTACAATATTTTAGCCACCATTAAGTTATTGAAAACAAAGTTTGTATTTACGCTGAGTTGTATGGTAATATTATGTCTATGAGGTAATATATGGTAGTATACTTGGTTTCTTGTAAACGTGAGGAATTTAAAAAATGTTTTAAGCGTGGGTGTGAGAAGGTAGCTTTCCAAATGGTTATCTGGAAGGGGACAGCTTGTATCTGTATGTCTCGGGATCTTTGATCAAGAAGCAGACACAGGATACAAACTCACTATTGTGTTTTCTTCTATGTATTATCTCCTATTTAGATATCTTTTGATTATGGTTTCACGTCTTTTCTTGGTTTCGCGCTGATTTTCATTTTAATAGCCCCTGCCTAAAATTACTGTCCTTGTTTTTCTGAATGGTCTCTTTTTCTCTTGCACAATGAAAATGTCATCTGCATGCGTGAATGTTTGCTAAATCCTTTATCTGTCAAGGACTTTTGCTATTATGTTTGAAGAAAAGGCTTCCATTTTCCATTTCTGTTGAGAGACATCTTTTGAAGATGGGCAGACTGTGAAGCCAGCCTGATTTTGAAAGGTCGTTCACAAGAACAAGAACAGGAAAGCCGATCAGGAAGAACAGTGAGAACGTCTTTAGAATGTTGGAGTGGGAGGAGACCCGGCAGTCTGACCCCTCCTTCTGGAGATGAGGAAATGAAGTGTTTTCCCTGGGTCACACTGCAAGGTAGTGGTCAGGCTGTGAGAAAACTGAGAGCAAGGAGCATGAAATGTAAGAAGAGAGAGAGAAAAAGTGCTAACCCCAGAAGCAGACCCTCCAATGAGAATCTGAGAGCAAGCAGTTGATCTGGGAGGAAACTGCAGAGAGCTCTGGCAGGGGAGTCAAAATGCGCTGCCCGGCCCTGCAGCATCGGCATCACCTGGGGGCTTGTCAGAAAGACGGAATCTCAGGCCCAGCCAGCCCTGCTGAATCAGAATCTGCATTTTATTAAGATCCCCAGGTGTGTCATAAGCACATTAAAGTCGGTGAAGAACAGCCTGAGTTATCCCTTCCAGAGATATGGAAGCTGGGGTTTTTAGCCTCTGTCTCCCATCCTTCATTGGCTAAGGACAGCTTCTGGGAGCATTGACTCCCCAGCACTTGTGCTGACTGCAGGGCAAGAGCAAGCTCTCAGGCAGAGCCGTGCCTCGGTAGGATGGTAGGATGGTAGGACGCTGTCAGCTCGTGCTGGATGCTGGAGTGCTGGGTGCCAAGGGGATGCGAGCAAGGCACAGGCAGCCACGATTCTTACACATTCTGAACATCAGAGGCAGCTGGAGCCTTTTCACTTTAGGAGATGAATCCCAGACAGAGGGTTTAGTAATTCAAAGTATTTTAGCCAAAGATGAACTTTATTAGCTATCAAACTCTCTCTCCGCCTTTGGTATAGCTTATGAAAGGTGCCAGATCAGTGTTTTCAAATTCAGATTCAAATTTGTAAGGATTTGACTCACAGTTTAAAAAGAGTTCCTGAGCCAAAATCCAGAATGGGCTTTCTTATATTTCAGTCCAACTTCTTGCCAGGGTCTCTTGCTCTTCTCTGTTCCTGGACCCTACTTGGGATCCCTCTGACTTTGGGGGATTGGACTGTCCCATTTAGTCCCTGGTGCCTCAAGCCAGCTTTTCTCCTGGTTGTCCCAGCACTTCCAGTGGCCCAGCTCTCAGACAGACGAGGATTAGGCGTATAACCCAGGAGTCACCCAATACGTATGAAGTGTAGCATTTTATTTTGTTAGAACGAAAGCCATGTGTATAGAGCCCATTTTGTTTCCCTTCCCCAGATTTGCTTGGCTCCACCTTCATCCCAGGCACTGCTCAGTGGGGTCCTCTGGCTGCCACCACCATTGCTTGTCAATATGCTGGAGCACAGTGACTGTTTTCAAATATTGAACCAGCCTTGCATCCCTGGAATAAAGCCCACTTGGTATGGTGTATTGCTGAATTCTGTCTGCTAATATTTTGTTAAGGACTTTTACAATCTACAATTCTGAGAGAGATTGGTCTATAGTTTTCTTTCTTTTCTTTTTTTCTTTTACTGTCTTTGATTTGGGTGTCAGCTTCATAAAATGAATCAGGAAGTGTTCCCTCTATATTCTGGGAGAGATTGTATAGATTTGGTGTTCTTTAAACATTTGCTGGAATTTTCCAGTGAAACCATCTGAGTGCTGAAGATTTCCTTTTCGGAGGTTTTAAAACTACAAATTCAAATTTTAAAATAGTTATAGGGCTGCTCAAGTTAGCTACGTAGTGTGGGGTGTGTTGTGGTATTTCTGGCTTTAGAGAGATTGGTCAGTTTCATCTCGGAGACGGTGATTTGCCAAAGCCATAGATTGAGCCGACGTCTGATCTGGCGCTTTTGTCCCGTGTGGCAGAGCCCTCCCACCCACATTGGTCCCTGGAGCTGACCTTCTGCCCCTCTGCTTCCCCCTAATCTCCCCAGTCTCCTGCTCACAGTAGTTCCTTACTTTCTAAGCTGGTTTTCAACTAATTCCCTCTCAGGTAGTGGTTCTCAAAACTCTTTGGCCCTCCCCAGACTTACTGAATCAGAACTCTGGGGTGGCGGCAATACTCTGTGTCTTAACAAACCTTCCATGTGATTCTGTTGCATACTAATGTTTAAGAGCCACTGCTGTAGTGTCTTTCCTCAAGGGGGTGGAGCTTCCATTGCAGTCTTTCCCAAGCTTGTCTTCAGTTTAACAGGGGTGCTTTAAGGTCAGTAAAGGAATTGGCCACACGGGAGAAAGGGCTGCAGTTTTGGTTCAGAGAGATGTGTTTGTGTCTGAGCTGGACTCTGCTCTTGCTAATATTGACTTTGAATAGATCCCTCAACTGATTTGTGTTTCATTAAGTTTCTTTCTTTTCATAAAATGGGGTGTGCTTTCCCTACTTCGTAAGATTGTAATTGGATAATAGAAATTATTATCAAATGTAATCATGATAGATAGTATTTATTGAGAGTCCTTTAACGTCCCAACAGCTCTGCGAGTAATAATCCCTTTTTAGAG